TGGCTCTTATATTCATTACTGTACTCATAAGATAGCTCATGCTCTGTTAAGTCTATTATATAATGTCCTGGATCCCTGGTTTCACAGTGTAAGACCTACTATCTTTATTTGGTCTGCAGTTCCCTAACTTTACATGACTTATCAACCAGATCATTTTTCTATTATTCATTTTTTTATATTACTTTAAGCTGAAAAACCTTATATTAATAATGTTTCTTGTTGGATTTTCCCTTTTCTGGGTGCTGATAACCTTTGTGGCTATGTTATACAACTTATTTATTATTGCAATAATCTATCTAAAAGCAAAAAGCTTCTCTTAAAGATTATTTCTAATCGTGGTCCTGGCATAGCTTTTATTTCCCAGTTGGACTCAAACTGGCAACCTTGTGATTGTGACCCCTGAAGCACTAACCACTGTGCTATTGACGCAGAGGTCTTATTTGTAATAATTTAATAAATGATTATCAATAGTTTTTTTATTTTAATATAAAAGCTTCTCTATTCAAGATCCATCAATTTAAATACAAATATGTAAATACTTATCTATAACCTATAAATCTCTGTTATACATATGTAATGTACCAAAACTATATAATACAATATGCTCATTTCTAACTTTCTTTAAGCAACTCAAGTGCCTAGTTTTATATTATAAATTTTATAATAAATCAATCATCTTCTCATTAATTATAATACACCAATTTTATACATTTAAATTAAAATGTAATTACAAAAATTTTATATATTAACTTGTATTTAAATAAATATATATATTTAATATTTAAAGATATATAAAACAATATTTGAAGATATATAGAACATATTGTGAGAGGCAAAATGTAACCTAGCTGTAGGTACATGGGAAACATAACATGACCTGAACCAAGATCCCAAAATGAATTCTTCTGAACCAAGATTCTAAACTGAAGCTAAGCTGCAAGATTCCACATGTGAAAGAACATTTAATAAAATGTTATATTGGGTTTAGTTTGAGGCAAAGCTTATTGAAAACAATTGAATAATAGTTTTATATTATAGTTGTGTAAATATTTCATTGTAGCTTGTAGATTCCCTACTGATACTCAATTTAGTTAAGCTGTGTCAAAGCCTCTGCTGTATTTTTCTTGTATAAAAGTCTTATAATTTCTGTTGGTAAAAGACAGAAAAATAAAGATTAAATATTAATAAAGACATAACTTAAAACCAGGATCTTAGTAGCAATAGAATTCTTAATTCTCAGATCAAATCTTCTATGCCTTTCTTTCACATTATTTGTGTCTTTGCATTATGTTAGTTATGCTTTAACCATGAAGGACCTGGTAATCTCAAATCTACCTCTCACAATATTTATAAAAAAAATATTGTTAATTTTTGATTACATATTGTTTAAAAAAATTCAAAATTAGTTAATTATTTTTTAAAAAAATTATTTTTTTTAATATATTTATAAATTAACTAACCACAATTAAATATTTTTTTTTGTAATATTATGCAAGTGTTTTGGTGTAATTTTAATGTATAAATTGCAAAATTTCAACTATAATTACTATATAGAAAAAAAGTTATAATTAAAAGAAAATTATCTATCTAAATTAGTTTACTGTATAAAAAATTAGTAATTGAATATAGTAAAGATTTTTTTGGTATTAAAGTAAGATTTTATTTATATCTTTATTAGCAGTTTAAAGTTAATAACTACATGAAACTGCTATATACAATCATAATTTTTTATATAAATATTATGATCATGATCAACATTTGCAGTCAGAATTAATCATTAAATTACTAATTATATAACTATTATTTAAATATAAATAAATAAAAAATTATATTCAAAAATAGAAGTTAAAATATATTTATCTATAATCTAAACCTATTAAAGTAATCAATACTCATCTATATTTATAAGTTTTAAATATAATTATATAAGATATTTATATTTGATTCAAAAAATAGTTTAGATATTAATTTTATAGATAATATAATTAATAAGTAGGCAAGTATTAGAATTAGATTATAGTTGGTTAAGTAATCTATAAACAAGAATAAGTATAACTTTTATAATTAAAGTTTCTTCTATTGCTTTGATTTTGTTATATTAAAAGTTTAAAATAAAGTAGTTTAAGTCTTTGTTGTCATTTTTAATTAGTAAAATTTATACAGTATAATTTTTATAGTTGTTTATAAAAGAGTTTATTAATTTTAAAAGAATTACAATAATTATTTATAAAACTAGTTTGTATAAAATATTAAAATTTATAAATAAGAAGTTTATTTAATAAAGTTTTAATTTTGAATAATTTAAGATAATTAATTTTAAAGTTTGTAAAGTTATGTATTGATTTTTAGTTGTAATTAAAGTATAATCAAATTAATTTCAAATTAATTTGGAAAACTAAAGTGTTTTATTCTATATTATGTTTTTAAGAAAATTATATTGTTAAAATATAAGCTTTATAAATATTTTTAATTAAACTTCTAGTTGGATTTTCAATAAAATTTTAATTTAAAAGATTATATATTATGGATTGTAAATGTTTATATAATTTTTTTTTTAATATTAATGGTGAGGCCATACCTCTATTTTTATTGAATATTTATTTGAAATTTTTATATAAAGTATAAATTTACTATTAAAAATATTATAAAAAGAGTAGAAGCTCAGACTAGTTATCTGCAACCTAAATCAACAAAAGTGGCCAAGACTCATCTAGATTTGGTTATTAGTAATTATATATGAAAGATTAGTTTGGTATTTGATCCATTGTATATACCAGAAGTTAATTTTAAAATAAATTGAATTAGAAAGAAAAGATTAAGATAAATGTCAAGTAAAATTTGAGAATGAGTTAAAAGTAGAAGAATGAGATGTTGATCATGAAATACAGTAGAAAATCCAAATTTTATGCTATATTTGTTGGTTAAAATGAAATAAAAATTTAATAACAAGTGTTGTAACTAATTTTTTGGATGATAAATTTGAACAGTTGAGATAATTTCATGTAGTATTAAGTCAAATAAAATTGAAAAGACTGATGATAAGTCTACTGTATTGTATGTAGTTATACAATACAGTTGTCTAATTTGGCAATATAATAAGATTATTGTTTCTGAAATAGTGTTAAGTGTATTTGTATTTAGAGTGTGTTGTAAAGAACTATCAATAAGATAAGTTATAGATATTGTAAGGCATAAAGTTAGATATAGTAAGTTGTAATAGTTTTATGCCAGTTGGTCAGTAAGGTTATTATATATGTTATCTTGATATGCAGTGACTTTGTAAAAAATAATTTAAATTTTATATGAATTAACAAAGTTAATTAATGAGTTCCATAGTAAAAAGTATGATGTATGTGTGTAAGATAAGGTTGTAGAAGAGTTTAAAATGCTTTAATATTTAGAAATTACAAATTAAGAGTCTGTATATATGTTTATAATACTATTTCTAGGAGCAGTAATGAGAGCAGATAGAATGGCAATAAGTTTAGCTTTAAATAAACAAAGCCAAAATTTTGTTTAAACTTAAAATATATGTAATATGGAGTTATTAGAAATTTGAATGCATCTAATACCCATCGAACATTCTAAAGTACCTAAATTAATAACAGAGCTATCATTATAAAAGTGAAGTTCTAATAAGTTAGCATTATAGTTGGCTATTTGTTGAAGGTTATGTAAAAGTGAACAAGGTTCAAAAATTACAGGAATTGGTTAAGTAAGTATAGTAATATTTGAAAGATTTGGAATTTGAATAGAATGCAAGATTGCAATATAGTATATAAGATTGAGATAATTAGCATTAAAGTTAAGAGTTTTGTTATAAGTATTAACTGACCCAAAAATTGAGTTGAGAGATTAGTAGAAATAATAATTGTACATATATCAACAATTATTTGGGAGTTGAAAGAGCAGCCAGGGCATATATAGGATTGAATAAGTGAAAAAGGATAGAGTTGAGTAAATTGTAATTCAATATTACATTGCCAGTAAGTAATAAGAATGGATCCAGATACTGAAGGTTGCCTTCTGGCTTTTCTAACAATAATTTGATCATTAAGTACAGTAATGAGCCATAGTTTTTTGCATAATAAAAAGTGTTTAGTTATATAACTGTAGTAATTAGTATTAGGTAAGTGTAAATGTTAATAAAATGTGCAATTGTAGAAATAGTTTGTAACTTGGTTTTCTAAATAAGTAAACTAAAGTGGCTGTTTGTCTTTTGAAATCTTGTATATACAAAAAGAAATAAGTTTCTAATCTAATAAGCATGAATTGTCAAATATAGTAAGTTGATCAAAATATAGAATACTATGATGCTTAAGTTGTTTTTTAAAGATTAAGTATTTTGGATATAAGAAGATTAGAAATGCTATAAGATAAAACCTTGTTGAATGATATATGAAATGTTATAAGTTGGATTAGCAGTGAATGTGATGCCAAGATGTTTAAAGAGTTGAATTATTTTGAAATTGATAGTATATTAATTTGGTTCATCAATAATAGAATTGTCATATATTAAGATGCTAGTAGGTGACCAAAGATTATTTTGAAGTTGTTGAAGCTGAATACAAGTACTAATACTAAGAAGATCAGAAGAGTTAATGCTTTTGGTATAGTTTGTTATATGATGTTAAAGCTAAATATTCTATATATTTCAAATATATATAGTTAAGAATGGAGTATTGTATTAGTAGAAATTGTATAACTAAGTTTGGCCTTGTTTTTGACAAGTCCAATATGGATAGTAAGAATTTTATTACATATGTTCTGACTGAGAACAATGTCTTTTTTTTTGTTAAAGGCCATACTTGTAGTAATACTTTATTGACTTTCTATCAGATTAACTATTACAACTATTTTACAGAGATGAGAATACAGCTAGTCATACATGCAACTTTTGGTTGCCTATTTAAGTAGTCCATTCTAAGGTTCTACACTAGATGCCATACCTATAACCTATTAGGAGATTATCTATTTAAACCCTCTAATTATCTGCTCTGTCATATTGAAATCTCCAACTTATTCCCTATATATACCTAATCAGTATACCATCTAAGCAGTATGGTTATCTATTTTTTTTGTACTGGTTCTCAGACATTACTCATTTTAGAGTATATTACTTACCAGTAAGATGCAAGGGGCCCTTTGTTGTTAACTATCTACCCACTTTTAGAACACTAACATGGGCTACTCTTACAGAGTTCATTTAGACCTCAGTACTGACTTCACAGTATATTCTTAGTACTTTTAGTATACCATTGCTTTGAACCCAGACTCCCAATTCAGATAGCCTGAAAGAACTGTGACCTGTTCTTGTATATTGAGACCAGTCCAATATTCTTTTCTTCTGGTGGCCTGATTGATGATACCTCTCACCTGAGGTTTATGCCTGCCTGAATTCTTCATATTGGTATCCATTTTCTAAATCTAGTCTTTACAGAGTACTATTGAAGATTCATGTTACCTCTCTGCTTAGAATTTCTAAGTGGGCTCTGGCTTCTTAGTTTTATAGATTTATACAGTCTAAGGACTTATTTTAGATTTGTACCACCCAGTACCAGTTTGCATTTCTTTATGTAACAGGTTATACAGATGCCCCAGACCTGCCAGTCATGCTGATGTGATTATAGTTACAGGTATCCTATCTCAACTGATTGACAGAATATTATCACCATAATACCATCTATATATTACATAGATGATTATCCAAATTTTGTTATTGATGGGTTTTGAACTCACAACTTACCACTTAGGAGTATAACAACTTATTCACTTTACTAAGTTACCATATCCTGAGAACAATATTATAAATATAGTATTTAATTGTAGGAATAATAACTATGTTAATAATGCATTATGCATGTATGTTAGTAATTTTTTAGTGCTTATAATTTTAACAAGATATGATGATTTGGCTGTAATAAGCTTAGTTTGTTTTACTTGTTTGTTGTTAAGTGTAAACCAGCATTCTAAAAATTTAAATAGTTTATTTGGAGGGTGAAGATTGAGTAAATGACTGTAGTAAATAATAGGACTATAGTTAATTGAAAGGTTATTGGTTGTGAGTATTAATTTAATAGGGTTAATTTGAATATTGGCCATATTGTAAAAAGATTCTGCTATTGATAAGATTTGGAAGAGTTCTTGTTGTGAGAAAGCAATCCATAAAGTGTCATCTATATAGGCAAGAACAGAGCAATGTGATTCAAGTTTGTTGAATATTTGGTTTTTAAGATTAGTTGGCCAGAAAAGTTTAGTATTGTATCTATTAAAGTTATCATAAATATATAAAATAAGTAGGTTATAGTATATTCTTCATAGAAGAAAAGTAATAGTTTCTTCCTGATTAATACTATTAAGTACAGAATATGAAAAAGTAAGGCCAAGATTTGTAATAACTTGATTTTGTCAATTAATAAGTAGATTAATAAGTGTTGATGATAATAGGAAGGAGAGCAAGACACTGCAAAGAATGTTTAAAAAGATCAAGATTAACTAAATCATAGGCCTTGCTCATATCTTGAGACAAAAGCCAGATTGGTTTTTGGTTGTATGATGCATCTTCAGTAAGGTTGTTGAGTATATATATAGGTATTGAAGTACTGTTTTTCAGTAAAGTAACATAATTGTATAGTAAGAAAATTAGATATTGTAAGAATATTGTGCTAATTCTATTTGTAATAATCTTTGTATAGACTTTATGAGTATGTTCAATTAAGCCTATAAGACAAGTAAGATTAAGATCTCTGTCAAATGTATGCACTTTGAAATAGGATATATTCTGTTATGCTTTTATTGTTTTGAAGTTTGTTTAAATTAAGGCAGTGATTAAATAGGGCAGTTATAGCTTTAATGCAGACAACATCTACATGTTTAAGTATTTTATAACTGATATCTGTAGAATTACAGACTTTCTTATTAGGAAGTTTTGTTATAGTTTGGAACACTTCTTCTTTTGTGATAAGAGTAATAAGAAATCTATACTATTGAGTATTAATATATAGTTGTGATTGGTATTGTATAGACCAAAAATTATTAAATAGGTTTTGGTCAATTGGTCAATAGACTGTCCAATTGAGAAAGTAAGATTGTATATGTTGCTTAAAAAGATGTGGCTTTGTAACAAGTTGGTTAGAAAGTTTAATATTTGAGAAGTGAGTTGGAGATTTATAATAATTGAGAATGCTGTTTATAGCTTGTTTAGGATGTGTAGAGAGTGTTTTACATTTTTTTCAATAGCTTGTTGGATTTGTTATCAAAGTAGCAAGAAGTTTTCAAAATGGCATGCATAGTAAAGCTGTTTCCAAATATCTTAAGCATGTTGAGTCCATTGTTTAAGTTCTGACTGTTGATTAGAAGACAAGATTTGAAGATCACAATTAGGTTTTATATTTATATTTTAATATTAAAATTAATTATATTAATATTTAAATTGTTATTCAGATCTTTAACAATTTTAATTAAGTGTCCAAGTTCTTTAAATAATAGATGAAGTATGGTGCTATAAGGTGTATACTTGTGATTATAACTGCATTTGTAGAATTTTTTGTTAGAAATTGAGTGTATAGCAGTATAAATAATTGAGTGTTTGATTTTATGTCAGGTAGTTTCTATGCTTTTATTGGTATTGCAATCAAGTAGAGTGTTATGTGAGTTAAGTTTTTAAAAGAATAGATCAGAAAATTCTGTTCATTTTTCTGATGATATAGTATTGTAATTAAAAATTTTATGACTAATGCCAATGTGATAACATGGAGGTTTACTAAATGCATTAGTAAAGGACCATTAAGAAAGAAGGATAAAGTGATTACTTAGTATAGAGTTGTTACTGTCATTAAGATTGTAAGAAAGAAAAACTATATATTAAATGAATTAGTCCATATGAGTCAATGCAACTTTGACTAGTATTGTTTGACTATATGTAGTGTTTGTTATTAATATATGCATCAAAGTCATATATGTTAACTTGATGAAGGTAGTTAGTGAGTCAAAATTTTAATGATGAGCTACAAATATTATTATGTGTATTGAAGTTACCAAGAATGATTAAATGAAGGTTTAGTTAATAGGCTTGTCAGATCCATAAAATAACTGTTTTTTGTGTTTTATTACATCAATGTATATCAGTAGAAAAGAGATAAACTGCTATAATATAGAGTTTAATTTCACTTTTAAAAAAAAGATCTAAAGCTACTGCTTCTTCAGAATGTGTTTGACAGTTGTGTATATATAGTTGAAGGTGATTGCAAATCATAATAGCAGCACCTTCAGCATAATTTTCAGAATTTGCCCAAAAGTATATAAACCAATTATTGTTACAAAAGTAAAGGTTAGTAGTGTTAATAATTTTTGTTTCAGTGATACAGACAATATCAATATTATTATAAAGACAATAATTTTGCCAAGCTTCTTTTTTGGCAATTGTATTAAATTCTCTAACATTATATGTAACAATATTTAAATAAAGGTCATGCAAGTTTTGCATAGGTATAGAGGTTTGTGTTGAAAGTAGTAGCAATGTTGAAGATAATAATACAGAAATAGAAATAGATAAAGGTTGTTGTAGTGGTATTGAAAGTGTAAAAGACAGTAAGTTTGGTGTAAATGTTATTAAATATGGATTTGTTAAGTTAAGAGAATTATCTTCAATTATATTTGATTTTAGTAAAATGTTTGGATAATACCAAATAGTTTAAAGTAGCAAAATAAAATTATTAGATAGAGGTTTAGATTCAGATAGAAGGTAAACATGAGCTTCATTGTAATTATTTTTAATAGAAATAGTTAAGATATAATTACAAGCATTACTTAGTAAATAATTAAAACTATAAATATGTTGTAAAAAAGAGATAATTGTTTGTAGATATGAAAGTAGTGGAAGATAATTATAGCCTAGGAATTTATTGTATCATGTATGAAGTTGTATAAAGCCAAAGTGTTTATTGGCAATAACAGTATCATTATAATCAAATAGAACAGTTTCTACTAGTTATATATAAGTGTAATTTAAAGCATTATCTTCAAGAACAGGTTTAGTATATTGTATATTATTAAGTATTGGAGAATATTTTGAAGAAATAGGTATTGATAGATAGAATCCATAACTAGATCAATGTAAGATAAAGTGGTCAAATAAAGGTTCTGGTTCTTTTAATAAGTGTATTAAACACTCACTGTAGTCTAGTTTAATTGATATTGCTAGTGTAAAGTTATAAAGATTAAGTAATATGTAATTGTAAGAATGTATATGTTCAAGAAAGAAATAAAGAGTTTGTGGATATAGAAGTAAAGATAGGTCTTGATAGGCTAACCATTTATTATAGCATAAGTCTGGATCAATTAGTGTATTGTATGATAGATCTTGTGATGTTTCCTTAAAGTATAATAATATAATAGGATTTAAAAAGATAAAAAGTTCTTCTGTAAATTCAATTATTATATGCTTGGCTCTTACAGCTGCAAAGAGTGCTATAGCCTGCTTTGTATGTTGAGTCTGGCCATCATAAACTTGGTTCTCTGCATAAAAAAAAAATGTTTATATAGTTAAAATTTAATATAAAAAATAAATTATATTGTTTAGTTAATGAATTAGCTAGATTATTATGAGTATTATTAGAGTAAGCTTGTACTTTATAATAATTAATCTGAAGATTATAGAATTTGATAATATTAAGCAAAGTATACTATATAGGTTATAAGTTAAATTTGAAAAGTTTGTAAAAGTTTAAAAGAGTATTATAAATTCAAAATATTTGATAATTATAAAATGAAAGTCTAAAAAAATGATAATTATTAAGTTGTGAAAAGTAGTAGAAATAGCTAAAAGAATTAAAATTAGTTTGCTTTATAAGAAGATAACAAAAAATAAATTTTAGTTAAAAATTTAAGAATATTTTAATTAAGGTTATTTACTTGTACTCATTTAATACCTATTGTATATTAATCTGTATTAATATCAATTACTAAGCCATTAGTATAAAAGTTAAATATATTTTAAGTTATATTAGTAAGTAAGTATTATTCAAATAAATATATAACTTCTTTTTACTAAAAAATTTTAAATATAGAAGAGTCAAAAATATAAATAATAAAAACAAAGATAAGAATAAAAAATGCTTAATTGCAATTAATAAATTAGATCAATATAATTTGTATTAAAGTTAAGTGAATTAAAAGAAACTTTTAAAAAATTAAATAAAGATTATTAATAATGCATTAATAATATATAAACTTGCAACTTTGTAAAAATTAAGATAAGAACTTGTATAGAATGAATATTGAATTAGTAAAAGAGAATCATAATTAGAATATTCTGTATTAATATCTGTTTTCTAATATATTATAAATATTTAATTAATATTTTTAAAATATCTGTAAATTTTGTTAATAATAATAATATAATTATTATATATAAATAA